TGATAGTAGTAGATGTAGAGGAGTGGGATGACTTTTTTCCTTTATAAGGTAGCCTAATTTTTTATTTTTACAATGTTTTTGTAATGTATTAATTATCACGGGCTGTAAAAAAACAAACAAAGTAGATTTGGTTCGAATAGCCAATATAGGCTATAAATATGTGGCTGTGTTGCGGCTCCCCTTTAAAGCTCTTGTGTTTTTCTCCTTTTCCATCTGTCCAATCCTATTCTGCTCACAGGTGATTGGAGATGAGTTTTGTTCCTGCTTTGTTGCAGTTTGCTGATTTTTGTAAAAGAACTTATGTTTTTGCTTTTCAGATAAAAGGGTAGTTTCAGTTTATTATGTTGCGGGCTCATTTATTGGTAATAAATAATTGATAATAAATTATATTGATGATAATAAATTATCAAAACATTTTGGGCTTGTTTTTGAAGCTGCGGTTGCTTCTTTGTCTCGCGAGAGTTGGCAACAGTGTATTTAAACACTATTCGTCAAAAGTAAGTTGCTGAATGTTAATATGAAGGATGTGTGTGTGTAATGTTTGCATCACGATGACATGTGCTCGTAAGTTGAGAGGAGGCGCGTGAGGAGAGGTTAAAGTTGACGCTTCCGGCCGGTGTCTCTCTTCAGCTCTCCGCTCCCCGCAGACAGTCCTTCACTCCGCACAGCCATGTCCAACGTCGCCGATACCAAACTATACGACATTCTCGGGGTCTCCCCCTCGGCCTCCGAAAACGAGCTGAAAAAGGTACGGGTTCATGTGTCTTGCCTTTAATTTAGGCGCAGTGAATCGACCGATTTTTGTGTGTGAATCAGGAAGAGAGGAGGATTAGCAGTGAGCTAAAGCTGAGTTTGGCCTAGTGATTATAGTTACCAGATCGTCGAACTAAACCGGCGAGATGGAGTGTTGTTGTGGGATTCAATCAAGCATATCTGCGGTCTCTTTACATATCCACTCGCCCGTGTATGTGTTTGATTTATGCCTTGGACTTGAACATTAAACGCAGTCAGTCATCATGCATGTCTTCCTGTGTAGCTGCTGAAAACACAGTTAGCATCAGCTCACCGTGTGGCCGCTGTTTAAGTTAGGCCTTGACGCGGGGCTTTTCCCTTTACATGTGTGTCATATTGCCAAGGAGGTCACATGTACAACGAATTTGAAACAAGCTAAAACTAATCTGACGCATACGGTGGACCTGTGGATATTTTTTTCTGTTCTTTGATAATCACAGTTAGCAACGCTATGTGTTTAGCGCAGAGGGGTTTCTGTCTGCAAGCTCGTTGAACTGTTGGAAATGATCTGTTTAGTGTCTCACTAGCTTGTGTTTTGTGTTCTCGTTAGTTGCGTTGCTCAAGGCCGCTTGGCTTCATATGAACATGACGCACAAACAAACTGCTTTAGAGTCATTCTCAAATCATGTTAAAATCTCGAGAGATATTTGCTGGAATATTCAGGCAGGTGTAACTCGTTTTACATTTAAGTTAGTTCCTTTTGTTAAATCAGTGGTTTAAATGTGGAATGTTGTTTTATTGTGTTGGATGCTTTAAGTGAAACTAACTTTCTAAAACAAATACATTTCAGGCTTATCGGAAATTAGCAAAGGAATATCACCCCGACAAAAACCCAAATGCTGGAGATAAAGTAAGATCATTTTATTATTACTTTTATCTAAATGTGGAGTATTTTGATGTAAGACATGTAGAAAGTTAAAACGCTGTTAAATAAGTATGTTGTGGAGAGATTGATCATTTTGTACACATTTGAGTTAAATTGTAATATGCAAAAGATTTTACGAATAGTATGCTTTTAAAGTATTAGCTGTTATATTAGTGTTAAGGAATATGTCACTCACATAATTGTCCTTTACTCACCCTTCCAAACCATTAAGACTTTAATTTATCTTCAAAATACCAATAAATATATTTAATGAAACCTGAGATATTTCTTTCTCTACATTTTAAAGTCAGTTTCACCAAAACAGACACTTCAAAAGTTCATAATTAGCTCATAAAAGTAACCCATATGAAGCAAGCTGTTGAACCCAATTTTTTGAAATGACGTAATCACTGTATATGATGAACAGATTTAATTTAGTCTTTTATTCGCATATAAATATTGACTGACGCACATACATGGAACACATCAAATGTTAAACATGCTTGATGCACAAGAACAAATCACTAGATTCCTATCATTTTCTTGCCTTTAATTTTTTGAAGCATCAAAGTTTTGGTGGACTGGAATCAGTTTCGTTAAAATGACTTGTTTCAAAGATGAATGAATTTTATTTATCTTAAACAACATGAGGATGAGTAAATTACAATTTTCATTTATGGGTGAACAATCCATTTAATGATGTAATGCGTATTATATTGGCTTAATGCCTTTATTCAAATATTTAATCTTTTTTTTTTTTTCTTTTTTTCAGTTCAAAGAGATTAGCTTTGCTTATGAAGTACTAACTAACCCAGAGAAGAAGGACTTGTACGACCGTTATGGGGAACAGGGTTTGCGAGAAGGTGGCTGTGGAGGAGGCGGGATGGATGACATCTTTTCCCATATCTTTGGCGGCGGTCTCTTCGGCTTCATGGGTGGACAGGGTCGGAGCAGGAACGGAGGGCGGCGGAGAGGGGAAGATATGGTCCACCCCCTGAAGTAAGTCAAATCACAAGGCTTCCACTTCTAAAGAGATGTGTGTAAAAATGCTGATTTCTGCTGTCCTTTAGTGGTCACATTGACCTCTTTTCTTTCCTGATCCTCTCATTGTTGCCTAGCACATGTATAGCTTCTTCTTAAGAAGCTTTAAATATGTCACTATGGTTTTATTTGGTGTTGCATCATGATATTCTGGAAGAGCTTACACTTTTATTGCCCCCCTCCCCCAATAGGGTGTCTCTTGAAGACTTGTACAATGGAAAAACAACCAAATTACAGCTGAGCAAGAATGTTCTGTGTAGCACTTGTAATGGGTGAGTAAGATTTGTTTCACGTTATGGGTGTTTTCATGACAATTAAAGGCACACTATGTAAGATTTTCGTAATAAAATATCCAAAAACCACTTGCACATTGTTATATATTTCATGCAGTTGTGCACTTTTTGTAAAATAACTTATGTTTTTGCTTTTCAGATAAAAGGGTAGTTTCAGTTTATTATGTTGCGGGCTCATTTATTGGTAATAAATAATTGATAATAAATTATATTGATGATAATAAATTATCAAAACATTTTGGGCTTGTTTTTGAAGCTGCGGTTGCTTCTTTGTCTCGCGAGAGTTGGCAACAGTGTATTTAAACACTATTCGTCAAAAGTAAGTTGCTGAATGTTAATATGAAGGATGTGTGTGTGTAATGTTTTGCATCACGATGACATGTGCTCGTACGTTGAGAGGAGGCGCGTGAGGAGAGGTTAAAGTTGACGCTTCCGGCCGGTGTCTCTCTTCAGCTCTCCGCTCCCCGCAGACAGTCCTTCACTCCGCACAGCCATGTCCAACGTCGCCGATACCAAACTATACGACATTCTCGGGGTCTCCCCCTCGGCCTCCGAAAACGAGCTGAAAAAGGTACGGGTTCATGTGTCTTGCCTTTAATTTAGGCGCAGTGAATCGACCGATTTTTGTGTGTGAATCAGGAAGAGAGGAGGATTAGCAGTGAGCTAAAGCTGAGTTTGGCCTAGTGATTATAGTTACCAGATCGTCGAACTAAACCGGCGAGATGGAGTGTTGTTGTGGGATTCAATCAAGCATATCTGCGGTCTCTTTACATATCCACTCGCCCGTGTATGTGTTTGATTTATGCCTTGGACTTGAACATTAAACGCAGTCAGTCATCATGCATGTCTTCCTGTGTAGCTGCTGAAAACACAGTTAGCATCAGCTCACCGTGTGGCCGCTGTTTAAGTTAGGCCTTGACGCGGGGCTTTTCCCTTTACATGTGTGTCATATTGCCAAGGAGGTCACATGTACAACGAATTTGAAACAAGCTAAAACTAATCTGACGCATACGGTGGACCTGTGGATATTTTTTTCTGTTCTTTGATAATCACAGTTAGCAACGCTATGTGTTTAGCGCAGAGGGGTTTCTGTCTGCAAGCTCGTTGAACTGTTGGAAATGATCTGTTTAGTGTCTCACTAGCTTGTGTTTTGTGTTCTCGTTAGTTGCGTTGCTCAAGGCCGCTTGGCTTCATATGAACATGACGCACAAACAAACTGCTTTAGAGTCATTCTCAAATCATGTTAAAATCTCGAGAGATATTTGCTGGAATATTCAGGCAGGTGTAACTCGTTTTACATTTAAGTTAGTTCCTTTTGTTAAATCAGTGGTTTAAATGTGGAATGTTGTTTTATTGTGTTGGATGCTTTAAGTGAAACTAACTTTCTAAAACAAATACATTTCAGGCTTATCGGAAATTAGCAAAGGAATATCACCCCGACAAAAACCCAAATGCTGGAGATAAAGTAAGATCATTTTATTATTACTTTTATCTAAATGTGGAGTATTTTGATGTAAGACATGTAGAAAGTTAAAACGCTGTTAAATAAGTATGTTGTGGAGAGATTGATCATTTTGTACACATTTGAGTTAAATTGTAATATGCAAAAGATTTTACGAATAGTATGCTTTTAAAGTATTAGCTGTTATATTAGTGTTAAGGAATATGTCACTCACATAATTGTCCTTTACTCACCCTTCCAAACCATTAAGACTTTAATTTATCTTCAAAATACCAATAAATATATTTAATGAAACCTGAGATATTTCTTTCTCTACATTTTAAAGTCAGTTTCACCAAAACAGACACTTCAAAAGTTCATAATTAGCTCATAAAAGTAACCCATATGAAGCAAGCTGTTGAACCCAATTTTTTGAAATGACGTAATCACTGTATATGATGAACAGATTTAATTTAGTCTTTTATTCGCATATAAATATTGACTGACGCACATACATGGAACACATCAAATGTTAAACATGCTTGATGCACAAGAACAAATCACTAGATTCCTATCATTTTCTTGCCTTTAATTTTTTGAAGCATCAAAGTTTTGGTGGACTGGAATCAGTTTCGTTAAAATGACTTGTTTCAAAGATGAATGAATTTTATTTATCTTAAACAACATGAGGATGAGTAAATTACAATTTTCATTTATGGGTGAACAATCCATTTAATGATGTAATGCGTATTATATTGGCTTAATGCCTTTATTCAAATATTTAATCTTTTTTTTTTTTTCTTTTTTTCAGTTCAAAGAGATTAGCTTTGCTTATGAAGTACTAACTAACCCAGAGAAGAAGGACTTGTACGACCGTTATGGGGAACAGGGTTTGCGAGAAGGTGGCTGTGGAGGAGGCGGGATGGATGACATCTTTTCCCATATCTTTGGCGGAGGTCTCTTTGGCTTCATGGGTGGACAGGGTCGGAGCAGGAACGGAGGGCGGCGGAGAGGGGAAGATATGGTCCACCCCCTGAAGTAAGTCAAATCACAAGGCTTCCACTTCTAAAGAGATGTGTGTAAAAATGCTGATTTCTGCTGTCCTTTAGTGGTCACATTGACCTCTTTTCTTTCCTGATCCTCTCATTGTTGCCTAGCACATGTATAGCTTCTTCTTAAGAAGCTTTAAATATGTCACTATGGTTTTATTTGGTGTTGCATCATGATATTCTGGAAGAGCTTACACTTTTATTGCCCCCCTCCCCCAATAGGGTGTCTCTTGAAGACTTGTACAATGGAAAAACAACCAAATTACAGCTGAGCAAGAATGTTCTGTGTAGCACTTGTAATGGGTGAGTAAGATTTGTTTCACGTTATGGGTGTTTTCATGACAATTAAAGGCACACTATGTAAGATTTTCGTAATAAAATATCCAAAAACCACTTGCACATTGTTATATATTTCATGCAGTTGTGCACTTGTTATCCCAAAAGTTCCAAAGGATTTGTAAATCCAGAGATATTCCCATTTTAAATAATGGCCCGTCCCGGTTCATTGTTGCTTATCAATTACGTAATATCCGCGCTATCTGTTTCCGCTTGTAGAAACTATGGCAACAACACAAAAATGCTGCTGCAGTTAAATTAAACTAAATCCATTACGGCAGTCGCGAAAAAAATGAAAATTAAATGAAAAGTGTTGACTGCAGCATTAAATTTAGATCTGCTCAATGTTGCACCATTAATGCGTATTATATTGGCTTAATGCCTTTATTCAAATATTTAATCTTTTTTTTTTTTTCTTTTTTTCAGTTCAAAGAGATTAGCTTTGCTTATGAAGTACTAACTAACCCAGAGAAGAAGGACTTGTACGACCGTTATGGGGAACAGGGTTTGCGAGAAGGTGGCTGTGGAGGAGGCGGGATGGATGACATCTTTTCCCATATCTTTGGCGGAGGTCTCTTTGGCTTCATGGGTGGACAGGGTCGGAGCAGGAACGGAGGGCGGCGGAGAGGGGAAGATATGGTCCACCCCCTGAAGTAAGTCAAATCACAAGGCTTCCACTTCTAAAGAGATGTGTGTAAAAATGCTGATTTCTGCTGTCCTTTAGTGGTCACATTGACCTCTTTTCTTTCCTGATCCTCTCATTGTTGCCTAGCACATGTATAGCTTCTTCTTAAGAAGCTTTAAATATGTCACTATGGTTTTATTTGGTGTTGCATCATGATATTCTGGAAGAGCTTACACTTTTATTGCCCCCCTCCCCCAATAGGGTGTCTCTTGAAGACTTGTACAATGGAAAAACAACCAAATTACAGCTGAGCAAGAATGTTCTGTGTAGCACTTGTAATGGGTGAGTAAGATTTGTTTCACGTTATGGGTGTTTTCATGACAATTAAAGGCACACTATGTAAGATTTTCGTAATAAAATATCCAAAAACCACTTGCACATTGTTATATATTTCATGCAGTTGTGCACTTATGTTATCCCAAAAGTTCCAAAGGATTTGTAAATCCAGAGAAATTCCCATTTTAAATAATGGCCCGTCCCGGTTCATTGTTGCTTATCAATTACGTAATATCCGCGCTATCTGTTTCCGCTTGTAGAAACTATGGCAACAACACAAAAATGCTGCTGCAGTTAAACTAAATCCATTATGGCAGTCACAAATAAAATTAAAATGAAATAAGCGTTGACTGCAGCATTAAATTTAGATCTGCTCAATGTTTCACCATGAATGTTTTTCCGCGTTTTTACAGTGTTGCGCATTGTAACCAATCACACGCAAGTCTGTTGAGTTTATGAACACAGCGGCCAATCAGAGGCATTTAAATGAGTCATCACTGAAACACCAGAGTTTTGTTCAGTGCGCGCGTTCGCTGAGTGTATTCTCTCATCATAAACAACAAAGTGCAGATGTACGTATGATGTAAGTAGGAGATTCATTCATCAAACAGTGTATAGACCGCTTTTCTGATGAGGGGAGTTTTTTTGAGATTGCTTAAACCCGCGCTAGACTGAAGTCAGCCATACTGTTCTTTGACAATGTAACGTTAAATGTTCTTTGCTCGCTTTCTCTATATAATTTATTCGCTGTTTGAATAACTTTGGAAGGTACAGGTCATATAAAAAAAAAATTATTCATTACATATCATATTTGGGACATCTCTGGATGGTGAAAACGACATCTCCCATCATTCCACTCTTCTTGTCATCAAGCTTCGCCTTTGTTATTGTTTTGAAAAAGCGACCTCTAGCGGCGAAAACGTACATTGTGCCTTTAAGGAGAAAGATCTCTGTAATGAGCATCGAAGTTTTTTTGTTTGTTTGTTTTTGTCTCACCACACCCAGTCGTTTCAATACAATCTTACATTTTGTGTAAGTTGTTACATAAGTTACTCTATTGTTAAATCAGTCTGAGCTAAACAGACCACAGTGGCTTTTAAAGAGTTTGAAACTTTCCCTGGCTGAAGTGTGTATGTGCTGAAGTATTTGTCAAACTGAAGCTGTTGTTTTGTCTCTGCAGTCAAGGCGGGAAGTCTGGTGCAGTCCAGAAGTGCACAGCCTGCAGGGGACGTGGTATGCGCATTATGATCAGACAGCTGGCTCCTGGCATGGTCCAACAGATGCAGTCAGTGTGCACTGATTGTAACGGTGAAGGTAAGGGACTGGAGTCTGAATGTACTTTATGAATGTCATCTAGCATGTTCATGTGGAGGTAAGATTTGCTAATGGTTTCTTTATGATCCAGGTGAGGTGATCAGTGAGAAGGATCGCTGCAAAAAGTGTGAGGGGAAGAAGGTGATTAAAGAGGTGAAGATTCTGGAAGTGCACGTGGATAAAGGTATGAAGCACGGACAGAAGATCACCTTCGGCGGGGAGGCTGACCAAGCACCTGGATTAGAACCTGGAGACATTGTCCTGGTTCTGCAGGAAAAAGAGCATGAGGTTTGTCAATGTTCACTTTCAGGTTCAGAAACTATTATGATAGAGATGTTTAGTTAGATCAGAAACTTCCGAGATTAAGTGAACAGGGGGGTTTTCATATCTGGGCAAAAAGCCTTTAAACCTTAATACGAATTTGTCCGAGACTGAATTTTTGCACAATGGCTGATATTAGTACTGTACAGTTATTTTATCCATGTTAAAAAGTGAAACGTTAACATTCATCTTGATATTTAATAAATTTACAATTTTTTTTGTTGTAACGTCACATTATAAAGAAAATGCATTAACAATAATAATAATAATAGAGGGAAACACTTACACCTCCATGTACATGTACAGTAATAGCCTTTTTGATTATATACTCAATTCTAACGTTTTTCATGATTATATACTCTATTCTAAAGTTTTTTTTTTGTTTTTTTCTTCCCCAAAGCACTACAATAAGGTCATGCTGTTTTTCCATTGAGAAACCCCAAGTCTTTTTTTTTCTGAAAACATTACATGTTTTGCCTCCAGCAAACAAAGATTCCTTTGTCGTTTGTCACTGAATTTTAGAATGACCAAATATGAATGAATGTTTCAGAGTATAAATGTGCAATATACCCAGCTTGGGGGCAAGAGGTATCTTTTTAATAATTTAACTTAGTATTTTTAAAGAATGAGTCAGTAGATAGCAGTTGGAACATAAATGTATAAATAGTGGAATGAACAGTTGAGTAGCCAATATATTGTACATAGCCATGAATAATGCTGTTAGTTGTGTGTGTGATGTTCTGTGAGATGTTCAAAACGTGTTTAAATAAAAGTTACCCAGGAAGTTTAGAGCTCAAGCAGCCTTTAGACTCACTAATAAGTTTAATTACCAGCAAGTAACAAAGAACTTGTTCTGTACCGTTTTGATTCAGCCATACAGATGATCAGGCCTTAAAGCTTCTGGCCTCTTGACTGCTGAGCTGCTGCAGGAACGTAAAGCAGATTGCAGTGACAGTGTGTCATGAACATGCTGCTTTACAGGTTCTAATCCCACCCTTTCAAGCCTCTAAGTGAAGCAAGAGTCATGTCTGTTTTGGGCTGATATGGGATATCACCGAAGCATCAGTTTTGTGTGTGTTTTTTTTTTATTTTTTTTATCTAATATGTTCAGTAAAGCTAAAGCTTTTAAACTCTTTCAACAGACGTTCAGAAGAGAAGGCAATGACTTGCACATGACCCATAAGATCGGCCTTGTTGAAGCACTTTGTGGTTTCCATTTCACATTGAAACACTTAGATGGTAGACAGATTGTGGTGAAATACCCAGCTGGTAAAGTCATTGAGCCAGGTGAGTCCTCTTGTAATGAGTTTCGTGGTGTCTGAGTTTTAAGTGGTTTGTTACATGGTCTAAAAAATGGTGTTGTCTCTTTACAGGTTCAGTCAGAGTTGTTAGAGGAGAGGGCATGCCACACTACCGTAACCCCTTCGAGAAGGGTGACCTGTTCATCAAGTTTGACGTGCAGTTCCCAGACAACAATTGGTTAAGCCCAGAGAAGCTGTCGGTAAGATAAAACATACATTTGACATTTTTGAAGAATATTATTTACATTTAGTCATTTAGCAGATGCTTTTATTCAAAGCGACTTACAAATGAGGACAATGGAAGCAATCAAAATCAACAAGAGAGCAATGATATGCAAGTGCTATAACGCGTCTCAGTTAGCTTAACGCAGTACACGTAGCAAGTATTATACATGCACTACGGTTCAAAAGTTTGGGGTCAGTACTATTATTATTATTATTATTATTTATTAAAGGGGACATCGGATGCCCATTTTCCACAAGTTGATATGATTCTTTAGGGTCTCCATGAAAAGTCTACAACATACTTTGGTTAAAATTCCTCAGTGGTAGTGTAAAACAACACCATTTTTACCTTGTCAAAAACAGCTCTGATCAGAGCGACCCGTTTCAATGCATGTCTCTTTAAATGCTAATGAGCTCTGCTCACCCCGCCCCTCTCTTCCATAGAAGTGTGAGACTTACTTCTGGAGGTGCAGCTGGATAACGTACGGTGGGAACTGATCCATCCTTGAGTTTGAACTTTTTTAGCAAAACCTGCCTTGAATTGTCCCTCGTTCAGAAAGCAGTCTGGAGTAAAATGATTCGCACAGACATAAACGCATTTATGTAGATCGGGGGGCGCATTCCCTTCAAAAACAAAAGTAATCCACTGCTCAGATGTCGGGAGTAAATGACGACTGCTATGTTTATTCTTACATCCAACAACAAAACCCCTCAATCGCTTGGGAGTCATTCTTGTCTACACCTGCTCCGGCGTCGAAACAATGGCGGACTGTGTACAGCTCAATCAATGCGGGTCTATGCTAAAACGGCAGTGTCTGTCAACAGTCGTGGGAGGGGCCTGTGCAAAGTGACATCACTTTGCCATGAATCTGTGAACAGCTTGATCTGAGAAAGTGCTTATGATTTGTGGGTATTTAAAAAAAGCACTGGGTGGATTTTTATCATTATAGAGTGGCTGCGTACACAAACTGCCAACACACCTTTAAGTTCAAACACTATGTAAAAGTGAATTTTGCATCCGATGTCCCCTTTAAGCAAGGATGCATTTAATTTGATGGTGACCGTTATAATGTTACAAAAGATTTTTTTAAATAAGCGCTTTTTTTTTTCCACCAAAGAGTCCTTGTGCTCTTTTATATTGTGGAAACAGTGATACATAACTGTTTTCAACATGAAATGTTTTTGAGCACCAAATCAGCCATTTAAAATGGTTTCTGATGGATCATGTGACACTGAAGACTGGAGTAAGGGCTACTGAAAATTTAGCTTTGCATCACAGAAATAAGTTGCACTGTAAAATGTTCAAAAATTAAGTTTTAAGTTGCAATATTTCCCTATATTACAGTTTTTACTGTATTTTATCAAACAACTGCAGCTTTGAGCATAAAAGCAAAACATTGAAAAAAAATCTTATTGACTTCAAACTTTTGAACAGTAGTGTAAATATACTTTTTTGTTGTTTTTTTTAAATAAAAACACAATTCCGAGTTTTCTTTCCCCTAATATGCGTCTTGTATTTTTTCAGGAGTTGGAGGACTTGTTGCCCACACGAGCTGATCCACCAGTCATCTCTGGAGACGCAGAGGAAGTGGACCTGCAGGAGTTTGTAAGCCAGAGCTCCTCTGGTAGTCACCGCCGTGAGGCATACAACGACAGCTCAGATGAAGAAGGAGGGCATCACGGTCCTGGCGTGCAGTGTGCCCATCAGTAACCCCGACTACAGCAAATATCTTGTCCGGCTCCAACAGCGGGGATTTAACAAAATGATCTAGTTGCACAACAAACAGGTGTGTTTATAATCTGATTCGGGGCTGCCTTAAATGATGAGAATTACATACAGCCATTCCTGTCCACCCGATTCCCTTGTAGTAAACGCACAGATGATCCCGCATCTAGTAACTCTTTCTTGCCCCTCATCCTCTCCCTGCGGCCCTTTAGAGGCAACCCCACTTCAAAGAGAAAAGGGTAATTGCTACGTACTTTGTGTAACCTGCATTTTTTTCTTGTCATAGTATTCACACATTTAAATCTAACCATAAAACATTTTTGGCCCTGGACGTGAGACTTTTTTGTTGTTGTTGTTGGAGAGCAATGACCTAACTGAAGAGGAGTTGAGAGATCCTAAAACAACAAAAACAAAATAGAAATGGGACATTATCACCAATCCATTTTTAAGTTTGTTTGTATCGGTGCGCAATTTTTACCACTATTTTATTTGTAAACTTTTTTTTTTTCCCCCCTTTCTTTTGGTATTTTAATTGGAACAAGAGACTATATAACATGTATAAAATAAATGATCGTCATTTAAGCTTTGTATCAGTTGCTGTCACATTTGAGTGTTTTGTTTTGTTTTGAAATAGTTGGAATAAAATCAATTGCCTATAGCTGTCAGCAATCCAGGTGCATGTTGAACATTTTGGTCCCTTCACTGATTGAAAGAGAGAGATGTGCATAATGAAATGAGTGGAGGAAAAAGCACCTTTATTATAGGCTTATATCTTCTGTGAAAAAGTTTGTTGTTGAATAAAATGTCCTTCAATATCTCCTCAACATAATCCAAGTCTTTGCTTTATTTGGTGCTTCAATCATTGCTTGGTAGTTAGTTTTGACATCAGTTTTAGTGTCATGCCAACATTAAAGTTCCTTTCAGGATTGATCAGTGAGGACCACATGACTATTCAGTACATTTGTCATCTAAACCAAGCTGGATCAAATGCAATTTACCTGCATTTCAATAGCAGTGGAGCTCACAGATGAAATTATGCACGTTAAATCACTGAATATGGTGAGCAATCCAGTTATTATCAGCATTTTACAGTTTTCACTTTGAAATGTTTTTAGATGCTAAAGCACAACAGATCTGAAATGTTTTCCTGCATGTTTACTTCAGACAGGTCCATGTGCAGGATCGTAATGTAGGGTTACAGGTAACATTATGTACCCACTCCAAAAGGTCATTTGTCACTGCTTTCATGGTCAGTGCAGAAAGGATCCAACTGCAGAGTAGTTTAGGAAACACCTGTGACCTAAAACCCTATTTAGAAAGGATCTGGATTGCCTAGAACTGTCACGTGCCTTTACCTCATACTTCCTGTGTTTCTGGGGATTTTAAATGACGGTGTCACTGAGCAGTTCAGTTGGCTAGAAGAACACCAGAGGGCAGTAAATCCCAATGTTACACCGTTAACTAGAACGGCAATATTGACTAAAGTCTTCAACTGCTTTAAATTTACACAGGACGGTTTACCAATACATAGCATTTTATTTGTGTGCTTGTTTTAAAAAAAAATTATATTATTGTACGTTCTTGCTTTTTAACTGACAATTGATATATGAATGCAGTGCTAAATAAAAATATCCTTTGTTTGGCAAACATAAGACAAATACACTAAAGCAATTATCCTTGTTAAAGAAGAAAGACAAAACCGACGCAATGCACTTTAACAATCTCCATAAGTTTAATATTCAATTGAAAATACTGTTAACATTGGGCCAATTTTTAAAAATCTGTACACAAAAAAAATACAAAAGAAACCAGCTTTATTACCAGTTACTAATGCATGTAGGGAAAACTTGTTTCATTAAAAGTTCACAGGCTTGAATAAAGGCACCTCATATGAAGTGATAATTAAGTTCAAATAATGCAAGGCGGCATTACAGTCGGTGTAAAGCAATATTAAATGTGTTCTGAGTTTGTCACACCACAGAAAAATGTTATGAACCAATTTAAATGATACAAAAAAAAAACAGCAAGTAAATAAAATAAGTTATCCAAATCTTGAAAAAAGAAAAGAAAAAAAAGCTGTATTCTCTGCTCTCAAACGGATAATAACTGCACTGGAGCCGCTGAGCATGGCCCCTCCCCTAACACTATAAGAGGTGTGTTCGGCTTGAAGCGGCGCTGCACAGACAAATCGGTGTTTGACGTCAAAGTACCGCGAGAGCGATTCGAAAGCATAAGGAGCGTCTGCTCTCTAGAGCTCTCATGGTACTTTGATGTCCTCCTACACTAGGGGTCTCCAAAACTAGTTGGAGCTAAACTCTGCAGGAAACTGGCCCTCCAGGACCAAGTTTGGACATTCCTGTCCTACACCGATCTGTCTGTGCAGCGCTGCTTCAAGCCGAACACACCTCTTATAGTGTTAGGGGAGGGGCCATGCTCAGCGGCTCCAGTGCCTCATCGAGACATGATTTCAGGCCCTCCCAAAAAATCCTGAAAAACTATTTACCGGTCTAACGCCACAATTCAGTACTACGTAGTTCAGAGTCCTTGTAACGTGTTTTCAGCAATATATTTCTAACATAACGTGTTTAGAAACAATTCTCTGAATTGCCTTTACACAGACTTTAACAATATTCATTCACTATTAACGGCTTTGATATAAAAGATGAGATGTCAGAAAGGGAGCTTTACAACAGAGTCAATTTTGGCACAAATATCTCTTAATGGCTAATATTTAATTTGTAAATACATCGGATCAGGGGCGTCATGCACTTGGTATTTTTGAGGGGGCACGGTTGGGAGGGTTGAGTCATGTGACACACAGCAGCCACTATATTGCTGTATAACTGATGTAGGCCTATTTCCTTTTTTTTCCAAAATATTCCCAAACTTGTAAACTATATCATGAAAGGCATTTTGCACCTTTGTAGATCATGTTAGTTAAGCTATAACGGGCAAAGTAGCCTAATGTAAGTGTAATCTATTAACGAAGCATAAAACCAGTGAGTGTCATGTCATAAAATATTTTAATACGACCGACTTTGTATTTAACGTGAATTTAATAACAACATTGTAAGTTACTAATTATAACGCTTTCATTGTACAGAAAGCGAGCAAATAACATTTTCACTGACTTCAATCTAGCGTGAGATTAAGCACTCTCAAAAAACTCCCGTTAGCCTATAATCAATGAAGCTGTCTACACTATGAAATTTATCTCTTACTTTGTACGCACATCTGCACTCTGATGTAGGACAACTCTTTTATTCTTGCTGTGGAAGTTTAAATTCTTAATTTTTTTTCATAATGTCCTCCTAATCTTAGGCAGAAGAGAGAAGTGAATCACGCCGATTCCTGCTTAAAGGGACTCGGTTTCACAGCATGCGACTGGCTGCTCGCTTCTGATGTCAATTTCATGTGCATATGTTTATATAGTTCATAGAATTCAGGATCAAGGTCTGAGCTGACAGAAAAAGTTGATGATCAGCATCATGGTATCAACGAAGCCTGATTGGATTGGTTTTGTCAGCTTGAAACCAATCCTGTAACCCAGAGTTTGTTCAGCTAGCTTCATGGTACAGGTCTCAGGACTGATTCAAATAGCATTATGTTTAATAGCTCAAAATAGCTTGCAACACAAAACCAGAGGAAATAAAATACATCAGTAAACAATTACAAGTCAGCACTTTCTCCATGCATGCTTCTAGAGGTCTGCTCTCCCGCGGGAACCGACCAGATTTCTTGCACCGCGGGATTAAATTCCCAAATAAAGCACGGTAGCGATCGGTAACTCTGGTATAATTTGAACGTTTGCGGGGTCTGTGCGCAGCATGAGCATAACGATGCTCAGAGCAGGCTGTAGCCTACCTGTGGTAAATATACGGCCCTCAGACAGAACAGGCAGGTTGTCGATGAGTGACAGAGCAGAATAAGGATGGAGCAAAGTGTGGATGCGCTGTCCTTGAAGGACGTTCAACTCGGTTTTGTTTATATTTTGCTTAGCCTATAATTTGAAATGACAGATGTCATTTATTTCTCTCTGCGACACTTTTCCCTATTGTGTTGTCAATGTTAAACAAATTGTATCCTGACAAGACGAATAAAAATAAGAAATACAATTTTTCTACAACATTTTTTATTTTCTCTGGCACTTTTTTTCCTACTGTGTTGCATAAAATATTAAATGAATTTTGTGTCTTAAGATAATTCATATAAATTCAAGTCAAAGTCAATAAATTCAAGATTCTTGACAAGACGAATAAAATAACATACAATTTTGAGCAGACTACACTGTTGTTAGCTTATCTCTTGCTTTCAGTAGCGGAAATTGAAATGTAAGATTCTGGAAACGAGATCTAAATTTAGCAGAATGGTCGGGTCGGGAAGAAAATTATTCCAAGCGGACAATGGGTGAACAAATTTGTGAATATATATATATATATATATAGCGGGAGCGGGTGGGTGCGGAATAGAACCTTGCGGGAGCTGGACTAAAAAAATAGTCCCACGCAGACCTCTACATGCTTCCTTCATGCCATGTTTTCAACTGGCCTTGAAAACATACAGGGTCAGTGACACGTAAATCATTATCTTAGCCACAATCCTCTACAGAAGCTTAACTTGTGACTAAATTTGTAATTTTCTAAGATAAAATGTTTATGTACATTGCATGGCAATGAGTGCGACTAAGGATGAGGACAACACAAACATTAAAAGAGTCCCTCCTTGTAAACTTGTAAAAGTGTTCGTCACAACACCATACACGCCCCCCCCTTAGCACCAAAGAAAACAACAAAAACAAATTTGAATCAGCCAAATGGTTTTGAATAGTTCATATAAGGTGCTACAAAAGAGTTTCAATTGATTTCAATTTTCAAGTGAGTAACATCAATCACAATTTAGTTCCTGGTTTGGCAAGATGTTAATAAATAATGCTTGTAGCAGAATCTCTTGTATTATAGAGGCTGTCTATTTACCATGCACCCAGCTGCAGAAATTATGATTTAAAGGCAAATTTAATATTTAAAAAAATGACAATGTGTACCATTTTCTCTAATGAACCGTGAAACATAACTGAAATATTCAAGAAATGTTACATGTCTGACTAAATCGCTATTTCTGTAAAACTCATCCAGAAACCACTTTCCCAAAATATTAGTAAACAAGACTGTAATTTCAATTACTTGATTAAATCATGTCTAAAATTAGAATTTAAAAAAATAGATACTTAACACTACCTTTACAGTTTAAATGCGTTAGTGCGTCAAGTAATGCTAGACTCGCGAGCTTATGTTTTGCAAATCAGATCACATCTCATCTCACTCCAGAGCAGAGTACTCTTTCAGGAAACTGATGTGGAAATCTCGCACTTTGCCAAGAAGTACCTTCAGTTTCTCTATGGATGGCAGGATTGTCATTCTGAAACAAAGACAAACAGACCAAACTTAAAAAAAAAAGTGCTAACAGGTATTACTGGCATATAAAATAATAAAACACAGGTGCCTGTAACTGGACACTGAAAGCAATATCATCACACAATAATTTGAATAGTAAGGGAAAGTGAATAATTCTCAGTTTTCAGAGCCATTTCATTAATCTGGTTTAAAAACAACACAGAGTGTGACATGTGCACGTTCAGCATAACTTTCCTGTTGTGTCAGAAAAATTATTCACGACATTTTCAGCTCAGGCCAAAAAAAAAAAAAAAAAAAA